GAGCAGGAAGATTTTGCATCCTTAGCTTTGCACCATACAATAAGTGCACTAGCTAGCATATTGCTGGATGGAAAAAAAAGGAAGAGTCCTTCTTGAGCCTTGCAAATGATCCTTGTATTTGGAGTCAGAAGAATGCATTGTCATTATTTATTTTGCATAGTTACAAAAGCTTACAAGGTTCTGTAAAAATTATCGATTTCACAGTTGATAATTAGGCATCTTCTCACATGTGTCCCCTCCTTTTACTTCTACCAATTTCAGCTTTCCTTCTTTAAATTTTTGCTAACTTCATCATAGTCCTCATAGAGCAAGGAAAATTTGGCAAACCACTTCAAAGCCCTAACTCCAAGAAGCCAGTAAGTAGGTTGCAGTTCTCCCTATATAAGCTGTTCCACATAGCACCAACACCCTGAAGTTCTCCACCTGCAGCTGATCTCAGAGATCTGCTTAGGTGTTGAAGTGCTGGGGTCTAAACCCCAAGCCCTGAATTGAAGTTGGCATATGGATGATGTCCACAACCAGGCAGAGGGTGGTTCTCTAACACCAAGAGGGGTATGCATTGACAACCATGGACGGCATCCTCAGTGGGCAGACAAAACTGCCGTGAGATGCATCACATGGTGAGGATGCTGCAGGTCTACCCACCTCCTCTATATCCTAATAACATGGACAGCACTCATATTTCCATCCATCCATGATGGATGCAGACCTACCTAATGTATACTCAGGGCAGACGATACATCTGTTACTCTATTTATAGTTTACCTGGCCCATAGTCTACCACTGCTGTCTAGTAAAACCTCATTGCCAAAATACCGAGGTAGGTGTTTTTGGGAGGTAACTGAGTTGAGGTACTCAGTTTAGTTTCACTTGTCTATCTGTAAAGCATCTCAGCATTAACCCATGCCACCACCTCGGTACTGAACTGTTTGCATTAAAGTTTCACATATTTAAGCACTTTGCAAGATCATATGTAAATTGTTCAATACGACAGTACATATTTTTTTCACTTTTCTCCTTCTTTGTTCACAAGTTTGGTTTAAAAACATTTCTTTTCCCAATACATTAATGAGACTTCTTTGCTGGCTTACTCTGACCAATTCTCAGATTCTCCTATTTTCCATCAGGGTGCACTTGCAGAATTTAACAGATGTCACTTGAACTAGTGCCTCAAGAGTGCAGAAGCTGCAGTTTCAATAGCCAGCACAACTCAGTGCCATCAGCAGACTATGTAAAGTCTACTTTACAGGCTGGAGTACAATGCAGGGTTCAGGCTAAGCAGTCCAATTTCCATTGCAGAAAGCAATGGCAGAAGTGGGAGGAGAGCCAGGCACCTGGGCTCTTCCTTCACTGGGGTCAAGACACAAAAAGAGACCTCTATATGCTACTGGTTTTGCAAAGCCAATATTAACTCTTCAGTGGCCTGTGCATTTACCCTTGTATTCAGAAGTATTTCTATTTGTCCTCCCTTCCACCCTTATTACCACTGACCTTATCCAAAAGTGAAATCTCAGTGCTATTGATTATACTAATCTAACAATATACTTGCTACTTCAGATGCTACAGAATTACAATTACATATACAGTTTTGTTTTATTTATTAGGTTCATTCAACCATTATCCTGGTGTATATTTTATTTAGACCACCAACCCCTCCTATTGAAGTAAAAATTAGTTAAGTCTTTTCTTTTAGGATATTATCTTTTCCAAAACAAATGTTAATTAGTTACTGTACAAGTTTCAGAAGAGTAGCTGGATTTAAGGAATCATACTCAAGATGTATAAGCTTTTTGGTATTGCAGGTTAGGCTGGAAGATATTTCATTATTATGTTCACTGTTGCATACTTCATATCTGTCACATCATTTATAAAAAGAAAAATTAAAAATAAATATGAGTATTTTCAATGTCTGACTTTCTCCCACCACTCAATTTTTTTTTTTTTTTTTCAAAGATGATGTATGCCAAAGCATAATTGTGGATTTCCTTAAAAATGTAATTAGAGGTCAGGCTTTCAGTATGTTGTTTTACCAATCATCACATACTAGCTACCTGGCTAATTTTTTGGTTATGAATGCTTTATGTCTCTGGAGGTATTTATCCCAAACTCATTACCAAGAGATTCTGATTGAAGCCTTTGTGCTTTGAAAGCACCTGCAGAATTTTTAATCATAAAAAACCAATCAATGACGTGAAGGTTAGTATTATCCATACATTTTACAAGTCTAGCTTTCCACATAATCTTGTTTCAGTTGTAAAAAAGAAATGCCATGTGTGCAAACGATATGTTTTAATCAGTACTTTAGTTTTTCACCAAAGCAGTGGAAGCAATTGCCATAAATAATTTTACATCTGAATCCAAATGGTGCTGAAATAAGCAAAATGACAGATATATCTTATAATTTAAGCTTCTGTGTGATTCATTCACAGGCATACAGAATAACATTTGAAATAATCTGGAGTCCATTTCTATGATTTTAGTTTTACCTTGTTTTCATCATAGTAACATCATAAGCAAACCTACAGCTATTAAAAATAACAGCCCAGATGCTGCTATCATTCGCACCAGCATAACCCAAGTAGCACTGAGAAATCCATAGAAGATCAGTATCAATACTATTGTTCGCATTGCACTTCTGTAGGATTTTGGAGGTCCTGAGTTTCTGTCACTGTAAGGGTTTTTTTTATAATGAAATACCAAAAATTGCTAAACAATTCGAGTGAAAAAAAATTTTTTTTGATACCTCCATCTTCAAGTATTTGGTGCTTATTTCTTAATAGTGCCTGGGAAGAACAAAAGCTTTATAACAGGGTTCTGTCCCTGTTCTGCACATCCCCATGGCAATATATACTGCTTGCCCTTCTTTTTTCCTAATGAACTTATGATCACGTTTTATTCTCTCTGGCATCAAAATCCAGCTCAGGAAGAGGAGCAAAGGCAAATACCCCAGAAGATGGCAGATTTGAGCTTAGCCAACAGCCTTTAAAAAACCCTTCAGAGTCATTCCTCTGCTTTCAGTCTATACCTTTCAACTACACTGCAAACTCTGTATCTAAGGAAATGTGCATTTGCCACCACCAGCAAAATGTACTGGAAGTTTTTCTCGATAAAGGTGACCTGAAATCTGTCAGTTGTTTTGTGTTTTTTTTTTTTTTTTTTTTTTTTTTTTTTTTTTTTTTTCGTTTGTTTGTTTGTTGTTTGCTTGTTTGTTTTAAAGATAAAAAGGCATTTGGAAAAAATTCTAAAACAATGCATTAACCTATTTTACTCTTTGGATGTAAACCACACTCTTATAAAAGAAAATTTTACTGAAACACCTGTTCAAAACCAACAACTATTTGATGCCATTTGCTTTCAGCCATAATTCAAATATGTCTGTTTTAACAGAAGTAGATATAGCAGCTGCATTACTTACAATCAATGGCAAAAAATTCAAAATAAGTATGTATCTTACTGTGATACGCAGTATATATGATGCTCATTCTGTCCTTCTTATTCACAGGGACATTTACACAGGAGCTGATATACAAATAAAAGTAGCAGAATCTGGAGGTTTTGTACTTCTCATTCACTGTGGATATGCGTAAACTTCCCAGACATAATAAATCACTTTGTTCCTTAACTTTGACCAAATGGTGCTACACAGAAAAACTAAACCAGACATGAAGTTAATAAACATATATACTGAATATGCATGAACTAACAACTGCTGCACCATAGTCAATGGTAACAAAACTCTTAGAGTGAAAATGGCACTAAATAACTTCACTTAAAGCAACAGAATGCTACAGGTAGTCTGATATTAGACTTAAAAAAAAATAGAGTTGAAAACTATGCTTAAGCAAAAGCATCTAGGAGATTAGCCACCACTACGTTTGTTTTTTTTGGTTTTGAGTAACTTTATTTTAAAAACCAAAAGCCAGAGCTGGAGATTCATTACTAGTACTGGTTCAATTACACATGTCTGAAGATAAACAAGACAATACGGTATCTTAACATTTAATGAAAGACCCCATTGAGAGTTTGAAGCTGCAAATTATGTTAGAGTCAAATCTGTTTCTCTGTATTTCATTACACAGCTGCTAAACTCTACCTAAAGAAGAAGAAAACTCCTAATTCCATTACCAGGAATGAAAGATTGTGGGAGTGGTGTGAGTAAGTATGCACACTCTACAAGCCAGCAAATAAATATTTCTTTATGACAACCACAAGTTTTGGGATTAATTGCAGCAAACTTAATCTCATATGCAATGAATAAATTCAGAAACACTCACCATGATTCCAGTGAGTAAGCAGACTCCTTTCCCACAGTATGTATTAGGTACCATGTCCCCATAGCCAATTGATAGAAAAGTTATTGAAATCAACCACATTGCTCCAAGGAAGCTGCTAGTAATATCCTGTTGATCATGGTACCTGAAAAGAAAAACAATTTCTTTATTAAGAAAATTTATGTTAAACTTTTGTGTTATCACAAAGAAATCACATTAACTGGTCACACAACCATCCTTATTTTTACAGTCATTCACTCATAAAAACAGCTATAAGGAATTAAATAAAACTCAATTACATCAGCAGTAAAGAAGCAGAAGGTATAACAACAGCGCCAATAGTAAAGATAGTCAGAATGGTTTATAATTCAGTATTCTGTTATTATTATTAAAATAGCAGGAACTTCTTTTTTTTTAATAGAGTCTCTTCATCAGAGGTGCAAGTCCGGCTAATCCTCTGCAGCAGCCTAAGACACCAGTCTCCTATAGTTGCTGCAGTCTGAGGCAAATATGAAAGTCAGGAAAGGATGTGTGGAGAAGCAGACAGCAGACCACATCTCAATCTCCTTGGCCTAAATGCAACTATGTGAATGGAAATCTAATCATGAATGCTCATGTGAACAGTCATGTGAATGCTGACACAAACAACCCATGATATTCCTTCTCCTTCAATGTGTTCAAGACAAAGAAAAGTATGCCATTTTATGTCTCATCATCAAAAGATCTTCACCTTAAATATAGCAAAATGTACCTTCTGTTTTGTCAGCTATTAAGTATAATTTCCTGATGTGCCATTTATTGTCTTAGTTTTGATATTCTAGTGGAATATGTTCATTTTCTGCTTTAAAGAAAACAAGTTTGGATGAATAATTTAGCCTTCATGTGACATATATACCTATTCAACTGGGAAGCTATAAGGACAAATTTTAGGGCTAAAACCTGTTGTCACCAGTCACTCTAGGGTGGAAAAATGCCTAACAGCCTAACATAAGTGGAATTTTGCTCCCCAGAGAGCTCTGCAACAGAGACTATCTGTGACAGACACTGCAGCCTCAAGGTTTCAATAACCCCTGTGGCTGTTGTGAAGCTTTAGGTTAGCTATCTACGCTGTCAAACCCTTCAGGGTTTTATTTTAACCAGTCCCTAAATCTGTGTTTCACAGTGCATCACAGAGGGTCATTAGGGAATTAGCTCACAAATCTGTAAGCAGCCTGCTTTCCACCACTGAAATAATTGTTTCTGTTTTCTTCCTTTCTGGACGTCAGTCTTCATGACGGAGTAGGAATGTAAAGTGAGCACAAGGACATGCTCAGGAAATTCCCTGCTCTCTCATTTGCAAGATATTCACTGTAAATGTCTGAAAAATTACTTTTCAAAGTCCCATCTATGCCCTGATGGTTACAACAACTTAAAATCTCTGACTGCAAGAGACTACAGCAATCACAACAAACAAGATTGCTCCACATTTCTCCTGTATTCCTTCCTCTCCTGGTGTTAGTGTTGTCTTCCTATGTACTTTATACAAGCTTCCAAAGGTTTTTTTTGTTCTGCTCCTAGAACAAAACAACCCACATTTGAAGCTCCTAAGGATGACAGTGACACAAACAGTGATAATCACAACAGCAACTGGAGTCGTATAAAAGACAGCAAACTTGAATTAACTTAGGACCACAGAGCTCTGCACAACAAAAAGAGATCTGATACTGTTTGTTGTTTTTTTTTTTTTTTTCCCAGTCTGCACTAAATGTAACGAATTTTAGACTCCACTTAACAAACTTAGCAAATAATGACAGTGAAATATATGGATGCAGGGAGAGAGGCATATTTATCCCAGCCAGAAGGCAAGAAGGAAGCCTATGCATAACGCAAGTCCCTCCAGAGTATCACGTAAGTGATATAACCCACAGATTATGTGAACAAGCTTCACAGAAGGGTGCTAAAGCCACAACACAGTTTCTAAGGCTAGCAAGCCAGCTAAACACCAATAAATGCTTAAACAAATATTCCAAATACATTTCCTTAATGCTCCTCTTTGGACTTTGAACTTGGCCGTTTCCATACTTCGGACAGAAAATATTTTTCCTATGAAGATGAAAATGCAATGCAAAGCTTTTGATTTTTTTCCTACATTTTTTCCAAATTTCCATCCTTACAAAATTTCAGCCCTACGTGGTAGTGATTATAAAAATCTTGCTATGACTGAAACCAGACTATTCAAATAAAACACATTAAGTTCCTGAAACACCTGTTTCACATAAAAAATGCCAAACCCTCTCTATTAAGCCTGGAACAATACAGATGAAAGATAATGGCATCTTTAGCCACTTATCCTCTTTTGCCCCTGCCATAAAACACACAAGCCAATGTACACGTAGATCATTTAACAACGGTGACACAAGGTTAAATTTTAAAAAGTACAACAGTAGTTTTTCAAGTTTCATTAGAGACATGGATCTTAATTAGTAAGGTCCCCTAAATGAAATGTTCTTTAAAGACCTCTGCATCCATATTTAGTAGCACACTCCAACTCCTGTTCAAATGTTTTAACTTGTTATCTCAGCGCTCTTGTATTTCCTACACTGAGTATTTCACCTGGTTGTGATTCTAAGGCTAGAGTTCAGCAATCAAAGGAGCATACTTCATTTAAAAATCATCATCAATCCTTAGGACTTTACTGTGACTAAGAAACAAAGGATATTATGTACCCTCTCCATGGGCTCAACTGCTCAAGCATGGCAAATCATAGAAATTACAAGGCAAATCATTGAAATTACAATCTAATTTCTTCTTTCAACAAAAATAAAAACTATTTTTCTCTTACAGCTGAACAGGGAAAGCTGAAAGAATGACTTCTCAAGTTAAAAATCTGTAAGTAAAATGGAGACAATCTAAAAGATAAGGGTTCCTGTTATAGTAATCCCATTATGTCTATATCAGTTTTATAAAAAGGTGGATTGGCTGTGTCTTGTGTTTTGTTTTGTTTTGTTTTGTTTTTTTTTTTTTTTTTTTTGTTTTTTTTTTTTTTTTTTTTTTTTGGTTTTGGTTTTGGTTTTGGTTTTGGTTTTGTTTTTGCTTGTTTTGTTTCATTTTTGTTTTGTTTCTTTTTTTGGTTGGTTGGTTTGGTTTGGTTTTTCTTTTCCCAATCTCACAATTTTTGAGTGTCTGTGGTTAGTAATTCTGATACATGCCTATACCCTTTTGATTTTCAAAAGATTGCAGATGTGTACTTCCAAATGCTCTGCTATTTATCTGCTAAGCACCACCACCGCTTGGGTTTCGAGGCTGAACAAGCAAGGCCAGGGGAGTCTTTGGCTAACCTGCGTCCACAGTCAGGTAGTAAATTATTATATCTACACCAAAACAGGAAAAGCAACTTTTAAAGAAGTAGGAATTAGAACATCTTATTTGTACAACTATGTAAAAATGAGCACTAAACGCTCATTTATTTGAGAAGGGGGAAAGAAACCTACTCATTGCCTTGCCGTTTTGACTTATTTTCAAAGTTACCACAGCCCTAAAGATTGAACTTCTGCTTTTATGCAGGAAACAGTAAAACGAAGACAGCAAGAAGTTATCTCATGTTTTTCCATCAGTGCACCCCTAATGTGTTGCACTCAAGTCACCAGAAGACCTGAGAAAAGTCATTCCCATCACTGTATTTTTCACTTCACTATTGAGACTACGTCCAGCAGAGCCAATTGCAGTGGATGTTATAGTGAGGAGAAAAGCTACCCATATGAACAGCTGGAGCTGAACTGTCTTGCTCAGTCAGTCACCATCAGCTACTACAAACATCACTTTCCAGCTAGATGGTGAAAGACAGCTTGGATGTAACACACTCCAGAATTCAACTGCAGTTTTCCTAAACTAACCATTCAGTCTGAATCTCAGACCTCTGAAATCCGACAGAAAAATGCTGTACCATGAACAGCTCAGAAATCCAAAAGCTCAGGAGGTAAAGAAAAATAAACAAAGATTTCCTTCCAGTGACAAAACTGAAGGAGTAAAATGACACAAAGCAAAATGCAACAAGTCATTTGCAACCAAATTCAAAACATAAGCTTTTTGTCATTAATCTTCATTTGATAAAGTGTTTTATTTTTTATAAGAATTTTGATTTTTTAAAATTCTAATAACGACCAAAATATTTCTTTAAATATTTAAAGCCCACTATTTTTAGTCAATAAAAACTTGCACTGGAAACAGTGAGCCACTTGAAGATAAAAACTAGCATTTAATTGTGTTAAAACTGCAGCTATGAACCATTTGAGTTTTTGGATCACATCCAGCCTCATGCAGCAGCAGAAAAGCTCTGTATTCCCCCGGGGTAGGAAAATCCTTGGCTGAAGCCACACATGCATAAGTATTACTTATTACTTTTTCCCTCCTTTTCTAATAACGAATCTGCCATCAGGCAGGTAGTGCTGCAGCTGGAACGTACTACTCACCAGGCAATCCTCATCCCGTGAAACATCACTATGCAGTTCTTACCAACCAGCACATATAAGTTCTGAAACTACTTTAATTTAAACCAAAAATAGATGAATTATTAGAGTTGCGCAAAAATAGCATGGCTCATTTCTTTCCCAAGCCAAACTCAGTGGGAGTTTTACTATTCATTTCAGGAAGACACAAATATATTCGTCAGCTGGCAATACTGCAGTGGCTCAGGTTGTCAAAGCGATATTTCAGATTCTTTATCAAACAGCAATGCTTTTCTTCTAGTTTCATTATTGGTATTGTGATTTTCAGTACTGCTTTCCTTCAAACCTACTTTCACCTTTGATTACATTTCATTTAACTCGTAAAACATCTGCTTTTTAGGTGCACACGTTTATCATTCATTGATGTCTGGACATCTAAGACATAGTCATCTTAAAAAGCGAAGAAGAAATCAAGAATAACATTAAGCTTGACAACTGGCACAGTAAGTCACATTTAGCACTTCATTTAGTTTATCTTGCCTACAAGAACAGCCTCTGTCAACTTCGCCATCTTTGGTTTTGCTTTCTTGAACAAGTCAAGGAAAGAACTAAAAAATGGTTGATAAGATGGTCCTTTTCACTGGGAAGAAAATGGCCTCATTTTACCATAATAATGAAGAAATTCATGGCCTGCACTACAATGGCAAGCCAGGCTGAGTTT